GGGCATGTATCTATATCAGAGCAATTTATGAAGATAAAATAGTGTCTTCAAAGCTTCTTTGTTCAAAGTCCCGCATAGCTCCCATTAAAACTGTGAGCTTGCCAAGATTTGAGCTATGTGGCGCTTTGCTTCTCTCTAGGTTGGTTCATCGTGTTGTTCCAGCTCTCAAATTGAAAATTGGCAAGGAGTTTTTATGGACAGATTCCACTATTGTTCTTTGTTGGCTCGGAGGTACTCCAAACAGATGGACTACTTTTGTGGCAAACAGGATTGCAGAAATGCAAGCGCTTACTTCAACTTTCACTTGGAATCACGTTGGGTCTAAAGAAAACCCTGCGGATTGTATATCTAGAGGTATATCTGTTTCCGAGATAGTGGATAAACATTTATGGTGGCACGGGCCTAATTACCTTTTGGAGTTTAACAATGATTTTTCTAATAATGGCCATCCATATGTTACAGTTATTCCAGAACAAAGGGTGGCAATGACTCAGACAGTCGTAGAAAATGTTATTTAGTGGAATAATTTTTCAAATTTTTTGAGACTGCACCAGGCAGTGTCATATTGCCATAAATTTTTAAAGAGCAGTTCGGAGCCACTAAGCAATGACGATTTACAACATGCTCATGATACCATTATGAAACAAATTCAATTGGAAAGCTTTGAAAAGAAAATAAAACAACTGCAATCATCTGTTAGTTTGCTGGCTAGTTTTAAAGATAGTCATAGCATGTCCATCCATTTCTTGATGAAAAAGGAATTTTACGGGTTAATGGTAGGATAGCTAACGCAAAGGTAGAATTTGATCAAAAGTTTCCTATCATTCTACCAGCACATCATTATGCAGTCAAGTTATTAATTCGATTCGAACATCTCAAACTTTTTCATGCTGGTTCTCAAACAGTGTTAGCAAACTTAAGATTAATGTATTGGATAATTCATGGAATGGGAAGAGTCAAATCAGTTGTGAACGAATGTGTGATCTGTCACAGGTTAAAGGCGAAAGGGGCCACTCAATTTATGGGTGCACCACCACCAGAC